AAACTAAAATCACTTGATTTGCATCCATGCTTTGATTGATTAATGAGTCAAACTCTTGGCATAGTCTTTGTAATGAGGTTGCTTCAAAGTTGATTTATCATCATCATCAGTGCTATTTTGGAATGTAAACACTGATATTAAAAGACAAAGGTCAACCACCTTTGGAAGTTAAAGTGCCAGATTGTATTCTTACTCATATTAATGATTAAATTTGCTGGCAAACACTTGGGTGCAGTGCCTGGTAGAAAAGCAAGCTTGCAGGTCAGCATCAGATCTTGTTTTTTGTGATATGATGCACTAGCCTTATTTATAATAGAGAATATTTGGTTGCATATTGTCTTTGGTACCTACATACCTACACTGTGGATTGCAAAATCCTGCATAAGAGCCTGTGGAAGTATGAATAAGAAATGAAGCATTATGATAAGCTGTAAGATTCTTCTGTTCTAAAAGGTATTGACTGCTGGTGAGCTGTACTGTGAAGCAAATGATTTCTTATGTGATCTATGAACACTTAAGAAAATAATATCTCAGAGGAGATTAAAAGTGTATGTTATGATAGCTAAAGAGCTGTTAAAATATTTATCTGCTGCTGTTTGTAAATTCATGAAAAGCTTAATCTAATTGTTATGATACAGTAAGTCTCAGGTCACTAATCCAACAATTAGTAGCCTGAGCGTAACTGACCGTGCAAATACTTTGACTCACAAAAAGGAGTATTTTATGTTGGTAAATCCTTTTTCCACAAATTTCAGTGGGAAATAGTAACATTTCCAGAGATTATGCAGGAAAATTAAATAAAAATGTTAATATTAATTGTATCTGGTACAGAGTCGACAATAGCTTGGTTACCTAAGGCTGAGCATCGCCTTCCCCCACAGGGAACACATCTGTTAATCATGCTAGGCATTACTCAACTTCAGTTGGCATCAGCAACATTTTAGGTGTAATCGAAATTATCATGACAAATCTTTCCCTAAATTGACAAGGCTCTGCTTTTGACACCACTCATTACTTCAGCACAGCCTCGTACTGATCTGAGGAATGCTGAAGAGGTTGGACATGTTAGGAAATCTTTTAAGAAACAAACAAACACCATCACCACCAAAGGGGTTCTTGCCAGACATGAGTTATAATGAGCTCAGAGCACTTGTGAGAACAGCCAGTAGGGACAGCCATAGTTGATGATTTCTCCAGTGACATACTGTGCTGATTTTGGACTCTGGGACTGCACAAAAAGCATTTGTCTTGCTGCAAACAGTGCTTCTCCTTTGTGTTGTGATGAGTAGCTGAGCAGTGTTTATTGATCACCAAGCTGATAAGGCAACGTTTGAGAATTCTGCCCTTTCTGGAGTGTCACCTTATCTGCATAATAGCAGCTTGCTAATGTACCATCCCTGTTATTTTATAAAGTAGTTTAGCACACAGAGTGGGCACTCCTGCTTCCTAGTAGTCAGTGAGGACAAGATCTCATCCAAACTGTTCAGAATAAACTGTCCTGAAAGTTTTCTGACACCAGTTTCATGTTGTAACACAGCCACTGGGTCTGCCCAAATGAGCAGGCAGCTCGTATTGAAGCAGGTAACTGACAAATACTCCAGCTGTTTCAGTCCTACTTAACGTGGGATTATTTTGTTTAATAGCTGAAGACTGTTTCCAAAAGCCACAGTCATCAGAAAGGTTACATTCTGCCATCTATCTTTGTACTGAAGTCCCATTGGGGTGTCTCAGCAGGCTACTCCCAAAACACAGATGTTTCTGGCTATTCATTCAGCATTTTAGTGCCGCTGGATACCTCTAGCTTTTTATTACTGGGAGCTTCTTAAAATGTAAATAGTTGTGTTTTTTTCTTTCTGAAATCACCAGTGCTGTCTCCAAAGTAACATAACAGTAGAAATGACTACATAGGTACCTCTGGGCGGAGCGTGCTCTGTGTCAGTAGAACTCACTGAAAATTAACAGGACTTTTGTCTGCATGGAACTTCAACCTGAAAGCCTCTATGTCTAGTTTTTAATCAGGAAACTTCCCCAGACTTCACCAAAGAAAGAAACTGGAGGATTTGGCGAGTAAGAAGTGGATATATGTGCATATGTGTCTCCCTCCTTGAAAATTCAACTTTGAGGGAACACGGTGTGTATTTATACTCTTCAAGGTCCGGGAAGTTTTCAGGGTTTATGAAGAACAACCTATTTTTACAAGCATGGAAAGGCCCTTAAGTGTGACCACTGGCATCTTAAATTAGTCATAGCTGGTCTCAGGAACATCATAGTCCATGTCACCCATGTCATTTTTGTCAAACGTGGAGGGAAATGCCTTTTTCTGCCACTTCCATGTCCTTAAACATTCCCATTTAACATTTGTAAGCTGCTGTAGAACTTATATGGGTGTAGATTTGGAAAGGATAGCAATTTTTTTCCCATCTAGATACGCTGAAAACAAAGGCGTTCAAATATCTTAGTGGCTTAGGGCTTGTGGCAGTGAAAGACACTTCCTTTTCACTGCCTTTTTTGCATCAGTCCGAAGACACTCAAGTTTGTAACCACTCAGTTCACTCAGCAGCCTAGCAAAAATACTAAGGCAGTGCAATTAGTGCCTTTATTTTTATTACATCTTCTTTATGGATATGTAACCCACTGGATTCTTTTTGAGGTAGCTAAGCTTGCTGTGGTGCTAACAGGGTTCCCTCCTGCAGCAGCAGTGTGGGAAAAAACACATTTAGAAGATATCAATGAGTGCAGGACTGGAAGGATAGAACTGAAACCCAACAGTATCTCAGATCTCTGCTCCCTGCCTCTTGTTCTTCTTTGCTCTTGTAGGAAAATTTACCCATAGAGCTAACAAGCCACCAGCCCCAGTGTGACGGAGATGAGGGACTAAGCTGATGCGAAACTCAGTAAGGCACTTTTAGAGGCTGAATCTCCTACAGGATTTTCTGCTAAATGAAACTGATGTGTATGTCCACCGTGGAGGCAACAGATGGAATTCTTGTTTTTAAGATGCCATAAAGACAACTGTTGTAAAAAGAAGGATGAGATGGAGCCATTCACAAGTCACAGCCTGTATCTGTATTTCCTACTGCTCGGCTCAAGGTCTGTCCTGGAAACTGTCGTCACTGAATACTATTAGCTGATACAGTGGTAGCCACGGGCTATCAAACAGCATAGAAAAAGAAAAAAAACAATCTCAGGACGATTAAACTTCATTAAACCAAACACAATCAAACCATGAAGTATTAGTTTGTCCTCACATCAGCCAAAGCTGATGTGTCTTCATGCATCTTTCCTTCTGAATTGTTGATTTTTGATCATGATAACTATCTCATCTTTCGTTTTATGGTAAAATAGGTCTTTTCAAGTGCCAGTAAAGAGTGTTGTGATAAACATATGTTCAAGAATGACACCCTGCATGTTGATTGAGATGCTTCCTACGGCTGTTTGTGTTTATGATATCAGCAACCAGTTTTCAATCGTTCCATAGACTTTGATAGCAGAGGGCCCCCTTACCTTTGCTTGTAAAGGTTTTGATTCTGCTTTCACAGAAAGGAAGAATTGGTTCAAACTTTTCGCTGCCTCTTGTGACTGTGAAGTAGTTGGCTTTCTGTTCACTCCAGTTTGCAAGTTTTTAAATCAAAAGATGCTAAAGAAGATGCAGGTGTCTCTGACTGAACTGACATAAGATAATGCATAAACACTAACCCAAATGAGGTTGCAGGATGTTAGCTCCCGTGCCTGAAGTAGCTGCAAACTATAAAGGAAGCAGACTAAGAATAAAGGTGATAAAAGGTGACCCAAAGGATGATAGAAAGGAATTCAAACACTGTGGGTGTCACTGTGTGCAATGTGAGATAGGCAAACATTTCTCTTTCCCTAAACTTTGTAAGATTGAGATATAGGAGAGGTGAGTATGTATGGAGCCACCTGAGTGATGCTTCCACAACACCTGCAGCCTGCTGGTGTCACAAGGCACTGTACTGCTGCGGTGTGAACTGCTGGAATTAGCTGTGGACAATAATGAAATAGGGATAAAGTTTGTTTTTCAGTATTGACCATTTTCTGGGTAGTGAGCTAAGAGATCCTGTGACCCTGTTCTGAAGTTCTAGAGGAACCACATGGGAGGAGGTATTTCAGTACCAGCCCTTCCTACTAGCCTGTTAAATTCTGAGGATTCTCCCTTCCTGCATTCCTCCTTTTGTGGGCAACAAGTATTTTATGCTACAAGTGTGAACCCTTAGCCTTTATCACCAGGCAACCACATTAACAAGACATCCCTAACTATCTTACGGAGCGTGCTTTCATTCTAGCAGTTCTTCCATCTGTGTCATTCACCATTCATGCACACTCCTCCATCTGCTAGGCAGGGTCTGTTCTCCCTGTGTGAGATTTCAAAGCACCCAGGCACCTGCCTGGCTCGCAGATGGTGTTACTCCTTCACAGCGTGGAGGCATCACTGCCAACACAGCGATTTCGGGGAGATGAAAGGGGCCGATGGAGTTAAGAGCTTCCTGAAGATGTGCCAGGACTCTGAGCTAACAGTAACTATTGTGTGTGATCTGTTTGTTGCTGTCAAACTGTGCAGGAGGTGAGGCTTTGTTTGTAACAAGTCTCCTACCTACTTTGGGGAAAAGAACCTCTCAACTGCAGCACGAGGGCAGAAATCCCGCTCTCCCATTAAAACCACCCCAAAGAAACCTTTTTCTGATCCAGCGCTAACTTTTCTAGATGCTACTTCATACCACTCGAGTTTTTTTTCTCCCCTCGATACTATTTGTTGCCAACGAAAGAAGGCTGGCGCGGCAGCAGAAGGCAGCTACGCCCGTGCCCAAAACTAAGTTCAACTCCGAGGGAGGCGAGCGGTCCGTGCCCCGACGGAGCTCGGCGGAGCGGGATCGCGGGGAGAAGGGAGGAGCGGCGGCCCCTCTGCGGGCGCCTTACTGCAAATCCCCCAGCTTTTGGGTTTCGGGGCTGGGGGCCGGGGAGCGAGACCTCGCGAAGCGCCTTACCCCCTCCATTTTTGTAGCAGAGGTAGGGGAACCTCCAGACGTTGGCCAGGTCCACGGCGAAGCCGATGACGGAGAGAAGGAAGTCGATCTTCTTGCCCCACGTCTCCCTGTCCTGGGGGCCGTAGCGGGGCGCGGGGGCGGCGGGCAGGAGGTTGCTGCTGGTGTATTGCACGCCGTTGTGCTCCTTCACCAGGATCAGCTCCACGTCCTTCCGCGGGGGAGGCGGCCCCGGGCGCTCCGGCAAAGGGGCCACCACCGACACTTTGCGGTCGGGCTGGATCTGTTTGTTCATCCTCGCCTTAAACATCCAGAGAGAGCGAGCTTGAGGCGGGGCGGGGAAGGGAAGGAGGGAAGCGCGCTGCCCGCTGCAGGCGGCTCCGCTCTCCAGCCCGCCGGTGTCAGCGCGGCAGGAGCGAGGCACGGCCGTAATAAGAGCCATGCAAATGAGGCGGGAGAAGGGGGGACCGGGGTGCCCCCAGGGAGCGGGGCTTCCCGCGCCCTTCCTCCGCGGGGGAGCGGCCGGCAGCCGGTGCACCTGGGGCCGCCCTGCCTTGCCCGGCCCGTCGGGCACCGAGCGCAGCCCGCCCCGCGCTGCCCAGCGAGGCTATCGGGGATCACATTCGGGCCCTGCCCTGCCCTGCCCTGCTCGCGCGTCCACGGCCGGGCGGTCCGAAGTCGGCTGGCGGCAGGTGGAGCTGAACCGCACCGCTCACTGGCTGAGATGCGGGACGGAGGCAGCTCTCCCTGCGTGCTTGGGTTAGACGCTAGAATTTGGCTTTTGCGATCAGAACCCGAGGGGGTGTAGCATGAACGGCGGAGCTGGACGCTGCTCTTAGTCCCATGCCAAAATCGATCGATGCCCGACTTTTGCTTTCCTGGAAAGCACAGGTAGGGCTTGGTTATCAGGCTGCAGTATTTGTATAGCATTGTTTACTGTTCTTCTAAGTGGGACCCAGATCTTTTAGATGTAAAACGAGCAAACGATTAGCTAGCAGGTCAACAGCGGCTGCTGCCACAAGTGGTCTAAATAAGTTGGCAAACAGGGCTTTTCGGGCCCACCTCATATTGCAGCCATGAGCTGTAGCTGTCCCTTCTGTGTCTGCTGGGCAAAAAAATTTGACTACAAAAGCAGAAGAAACAGGCTGCTTCCCACCAGTGAGGTTAAATAACTTTCCTTCTGCTTCGAATCAATGAGAAATGGTCGGAGGCAGGACTGTCTGTGGTGCTACAGCCTACCACCCTTACTTGCTCTGCTAGGACTGATAATGCGTGCAAAGGTACTATTCAGTGAGTTCACAAATAATCTCAGGTTCTTAGAGTGTGAAAAAAATAGTCTCAATTGCGAGAGTTAAAGCTTGCAAGTTGGCATCTTCCCCTCATCTCTTTAGGCCGCTGACTGTGAAGATGCTGCTGAGGCAGCTATTGACAATTTAGGGATTTTATGCCTTACAAAAGCTCTTGGCATTACAGAAGGCATCATACTGGGTTTCTCATGATTCTTAGCTGTGATTTGGTTCGCAAAGTCCTTGTCTGGAAAAAATACTTGAGCAGCATCTAGACTGTTACAGAGCAAATTCATGCTTAGAACACGTAGTTCGGATGCTCTCTTTCTGTTCCACAGTTTTCTACACTCTTCTTCTCCAAATACATCACATGAAACTTTTTTCTCTGATCTTTTCGACACTTCATGCTACGCATGCCTGAAGCACTTTCCCCATGTGCAGTCCCTGCACAGTGCTCTGTGAGCTCTCAGGCTTTGTCCATGCCATGCTCCCACATCTTTACACCCACGCACTGCACAGCTGCCTGCTCCTCACGCCACCCATCACTCACAGCCACCTAATAACATAAAGCACTACATAAGCACCCATATTTCCATTTACATGCAGTGCTATTACATGTGCCCACCATCCCCTGCGTTTTCTTGAGCCTGCACCCATCTCATGCGGCAAATGAAGGATGAGCTGTTTCTGGGCATGAGGAGAGCGCCTGCTCCCAGACAAGAGCCCCCAAGCCATCCTGCTGACACTCACCAGGTAGCACTGGGGATGTCTCTGGCCCATTCCTTGGTACTTGTATGCAGGGGCAGGTGATGGAGGGGGAATTCCTTCTTCTGGCTTCTGCCACTCCGGGTCTGCAGTCTCGCTGAGAACCAAAGCTGTAGCTTGGCCAGTAAGGAGCTTTTTAAATCTTGTTCCTCTCTCTCCACGTGACTAATCTGCACAGACTTCCTACGCTAGGCAGCGGCACTCACATATTGCTTCTGGAAAAATAGGGCCTTACTAAGGAACACCCTTTTCCCCACAGTGGTCTCAATTAGCTGAGCTTGATTATGATATCTATTGTGGGAGGAATCTAGAAAGCCCCCACTTATTTCCTAGGAGAACTAAATCACTGTGTGCATGCATATATATAAATAAATATATATGTATCTGCCTTTAGTTTTTGCATGGAAAGTGTGTGCAATCTGGTTAATGTAATATTTGCTGCACCCTCAAGGTAAGAAAGTCCTCAATTGGATTTTATAAAAAAGTTGCTTAATCTTGAATCTGTCTGGATCTTGTTATGCCTAATGGAGCCTGACAGCAGGTAGAGTGGCAGTCAGGGAAGGGAATATTGTATTTAGAAATCTCAATGGAGACAGGCAAGATGGCATGCTGTTAGCAGTGTTCCACTTTTGACTGGAAAATAGGTGATATCTTACTTTAAAAAATAGTCAGGTATTGCTGGATTAGTCATTAATTATTTAAATGTGTGTCTGTCATTCTCTTGGTAAGGTATAGGAGAATACGCTCTGTGTTGTAATAGTAAGCTGGGATTGTCACTGTCATACCTTCACGTCTATGTAGAAAAAACCCCAATGAACACTTCAGTGCGTGCCCCTAGACCTCAGTTTGCTGCGGGTGTGAAGGCTCGTTGACAGCAGGGCTTGCATCCACAGGCTCCAGCAGCACAGCACAGCCCTCTGCCACTGATCTGGCAGAACTGCAGGAGCTGGCTGCTGTCCTTCCTGTGAACCAGCACCAGAGGGGCTCTGTCGAACCGTGTGTCTTAGAACAGCTGGTGCATTCAGAAGGGTCTTGCGTTGTGCAAAGTTTGCTGTACTTGAAAGAGCTTGGCATGTGTGCCAGACTAACTAGTGGTTGAGAAGGGATGGGAATGCCTTATTAAGCATCACTGAGAAAGCAAGTAACAAAACAGCAGCAGCATTGAAACCAGAGGACAAAAGAGTAATGAAAAAGGTAGTTGGATAAAGAGAAGAGTTCTAAGTATCAGAGCAGTGAGTATAGAGGGTTGTAGGATTTTGTTTAATGGACAGGGTTGCATGATGATGTTGCTTGTGAGAGCTTGGGTTTGGAGGCCCAGGACACCACTTTCTTGTTGTAATCCAATATATCATGAAAAGATTAAAAAAGGACATAGGATGCATGAACCACCTCTTTGATTTCATGTCCTGATATATCCACAGAAACCCTGAGCTCACTCTGGCTGTTGGGCTTATCAGCACTGAAAGACTAAACATTTTTCAAATGAACCACATAAGCTGAATGCAGTTAGGTTTGGTTATTCTGTGATAAAAGAAACTCGGACAATAGCCAATTGCGGTAGGAACTGGGAGCAAAGTAGAGAACAGCTTTCTTACTAAATCAATGTTAAATCAATTTCTAGCGATAGGAACATGGCAGTGGCAGGGGTGTGCCCATCTTTCTAGGTTATCAGGTAGAGGACACCGTGCTGCTGACTGTATGAGACACCTTTTGATGACAGCAGATGTATCGGCTCCAGTTCGTTGGTTGTTGTGTGCAGGTTGGGAAGTTTTGTTTTTCAGTATCTCTAAGATCACGTTGCCATTCCAAATGTTGAGTTTACTTAGCATTTAGAAGCTTTGTGTTGTGTTTTTAGGAGGCTGTTGTTATAGCATCTCTTCCCTACAACCAAAGAAATACATCTCTCTCACCGAGAGGGCCCATCCATGTTGGCCCAAGTCTGCATATTGACAGCTGGTCTGTCGTACTACAAACTGCCTTCAGGCTGAAGGCAGATATTACAAAAGTTCTATAGGATGTGCTGACATTGCATTTACAAAAGAAAACCAGGTTAAAAGGAAAGATAAGGCTTCTTCCTATAACTGACTATAGTAACATTGTTGTTTTCTCCAGTCAAGCTGTTTGAGATCATCACAACCTCCCAGGCTTATTTCCTGGGACCCACTACCTCAGCACTGGTTGCCTTCTGCAAGGGAGCCATCAGGGTTACCCAGGCAGATATCCCATGGCACCTGATTCATTTTAGATATATTGGATCACTCCAGCTGGGGCTCTGCGCCTGGGTGTTGCGCTGTGTAAAATGGCTGAGGTAACCAGGAAATATACAATCAGTGTGGAGAAAATCTTGTTTCAATCTGACCGCATGAAGTGCATTTCATCCTCCTCTTTTCACCTGGGTTTGTGCAGGGGCCAGGAAAGGGTGAGAACACTCACCAACCTAGGGTCTGCTTTGAGCAGTAAGGGAACCAGAACACTTGGGTCTGCTGTGGTCTTTCTTTTTGGTCCATCCTGTTCTATCTACGTGCAATCTCTATTTACTAGTTAAAAGAAACCTTCCTTGAACAAAAACGGCCTAAATTTCAGATGAAGTCTTCTCAGCATTTTGTGAATTACAAATAATTCCAACCTGGAACAGGTTGCCCAGAGAGGTGGTGGCTGTGCCGTCCTGCAGACTGCAGTCAAGGGCAGGCTGGATCAGGCCCTGGGCAGCCTGATGGAGCTGTGGTGTCCCTGTGCTCTGCTGAGAGTTGAACTAGATGGCTTTTAAAGGTTCCTTCCAACTCTAAGGATTCTGATTTTATGATTATCAGCTTTGACCTTCATCCTAAGAGGATCTTGCTTGCTTTTTTTCCCACCTGTATTTAAAGTTTGGTCAGAAGCAGTTATGAACACCCATTCTACTCTGTCATTTCCAGGTGATAGTCCTGTAGTTTATGGAAGATATTCTTGTTTCTAATCCTTGAAGACCAGGTTCAACATTTTATTCTGTTCATTTCCATCTTGTCTCCATTTTTGTAATTCCAGGGCTTAAGAACATCAATTTTTCCTGTGTGAGCACCATTCTTCTCACCTTTGCTGTTGTCTGCCAACTTCACCACCTCCAAATTTAATTAGCAAGCACAAACTTTTATGTGTGTGTATTATTAATGCAAATATTAAATAAGCTCATTCCCAATAACAGATCTTTTGGGATGTATAACCTCTTTCCAAGCCTATAATTATCCTTACAACACAACATACTATTATTTTGTCAGTTTCATTCCTGCCTTAACGGTTCTTTTATTTATTCTCACCTCCTCTGCTCAGGTTAACAATTAAACTGTCATTGTAACAACTGCTTTTCTGAATTACTGATAGGTTAATATCTATTTCATTGTCCTTGTTTTTATAAAAGGCAGTTATCAAAA